ATTTATTTATATATTATCAGCATATATTATCAAATTGGATTAAATACCTATAACTAACCTAAATATTACTTTAAGACTTTTAACTTGGCCAGGTCCTTGAATTAAACACTAAAATTTTACAGAGCGAATTCTTAAAGAAATCCGTACACGAAAGATTTAGAAATTATATATCGTAGTTGAAGCTTTTGTAGTAACACAATGTAGAACTTAAAACAAAATATCTACCTATGTATGTGTGTGTGTGTGTGTATTCAGCCCTTTTTACTTTTTAACGTCCCATTGCTGGGCACGGGAGCCTTCAATGCGAGGGGGATCAGGCCATGGTCCACGACGCTGGCCAAGTGGGGGTGGCGGACTTCACATGTCTTTCGAAAATTTGCAAGGTTCCCTCGGACCTCGGAACCCGCTTCACTCGGTTTCCCAAGTGAGCGCGTTACTACTGGGCTACCACTGCCTTTTTTTTAAATATGTGCTTTATAGAAATAAACTTATGGACCACTTACATTATCGATTTTACATTTCTATTAAGATCCGTATGTATGTATATATATATATATATATATATACATACATACGGATAGAGAGAGATATATATATATATATATAGCATACATGATGTTATTACCAACATCGGGCACGTATAAGTCAAAACCAAAGCACGTCCTATATTCAATAATTATGATATTGTTAACCACTCAACAATACTATTATCCCATAGATAATACAATACTCTCCATATTGTACGAATAATCGCTTATAGAGCCACGTACTGATTAGATAATTACGCGATAACAAAGTTGTATTTCATAAAGGTACGTACAAAAAGTACTTGTGCATAGATTGTATATGGTGTCCTTGAGTTCTACGATTTTAAATGTGGAAGTGTGTTTTTATTGGTTTTTCCTATATTCACTCAGTCAGACGCCAATCTAGATAACGTTTGGCAAAAAGGAAAACAAAGGATTCAAATACAATTATTCAGAATAAATAAATTAAAAAACTAATTTTGCTTTTACACAATATCTCTGAAGGATAATACTACTTTTCTTTTAACTTTTTTGAATCTATCTACGTGAAGTAGAAGTCATTTTCTGCATACTCGTAGTTATTTTATGGGATGAATTAAGAGAAACAATAATCTATTTTTAATTATGGTATATGAACTTGTTAGTGCGGTATTGCAACAAGCCACTGGAAGATTCGTTAGGCTTAATTAGCACCACAGAAACAAATCGCGCTTTCAAAATATTTTATGTTTCCAACGGATAACAGTAATGACATTTCTTACAAAATATATAAAAGATATATCAAAATGTATTATATAATAAAATATGTATTTAACGTAATAAACTCTACATACAAAGTTATCAATATTAAGGAAAACTTCTGTCTTAGAAAGTTCTAAATCTTCACTTCTTCATCATTTTATTGTTTTCATATAATTTTCAATAAGAAAAAATAAACAATTTTCATTTAACTTTCCTTACAAGAGTGCGAACAAGTTTTATCTACTTCAGAACTTCTATTAAATATAATTTACATACAATTCAAGTTCGAGGCAATTTATCCCCGTCGGGTGATCATACGCGTTATACGTTAAGCGACCTAAATTAACTTACTGGCACACTTCGTGCCGACAACATTGTTGTAATCATGTCGCCTCAATATTACTTAAAAACGGTGTGATTTTTTGTAGTATTGAGGTTTGTTTTGTAAAAGCTATAAAAATATGTAGTACGCAATCTTCTATTAATTACTGCTCGGTAAATTACTAATTAATATTTTTTTTTTAAGTTTCCATATAGTTTAAAAACTTTACTTAAATTTAATTATTACTTAGGTATGTATAAGTGATTATAGAAAATCTAAACATTCTTCATTCTTAAAATAACATGTGAAATATTAACAGATATAAGACGGTCGTTTCCTACATAAAATATGATTTGATCGAGGTCAATTAGTCATTGAAGAGATTCGGGTGTTATGTATATGGCAGGTTCGAACAGGTGCTTAGCCAGTACGCGTCCGGCCGTATTGTTTCGCTGGCCGGCAATCAGCAACGAGGAGGCATTGATTGAAAGCTCTGCCATTTACTGATTGTACCGTGCCACGTACATACGGGTATATTTGTGGCTTATACTGGCTAAGTTAGCGCTAAATAGCGCTAAATATTGCATAAAGAGGATACTTCGTAAATACTCGTGTATATGGATTGAAATAATATAGTACTTTATTTTATTTCAAGATGTTTAACTCTATTATGTTATCTTTCCCTTCATAATGACAGCATTAGTAGTATTTTATTTATTTTCAAATCTGTCATCTTTTTTAAATCAAATTATATACAAATTAAATTAAGGTACGTTTATTATTATTTTTTTATTTTTTTTATTTATAACACATTATTGCACAAGAAAATAGTACATTAACATAAAAAAATATTATACAAGAAAAATATTATATAAAGAGATGTGCAAAGTCGGCCTTATCACTAAAAGTGATCTCTTACAGGCAACCGATAGTAAAGGATATAAGAAAGTAAGTGAGCGGAAAGGTGCATAAAGTGCAAATCATTAAAACTTAATATAAATAAACATACATAAAAATTTACATACATAAAATATTAGTTTTACCATATATATTTTGATTATATATACATAACATACATATACATAATAATAAAATAATGTCTATATATGTATATATATGCATAAACAAATTATATAGTACGGCACTAATGACAGAATAACCCTACTGTGATAGATAGTGTCTTTTGAGACGTTTTTTAAATATGCTCACCGACTTCGACATTCTTATTTCAATTGGAAGCTCATTCCAAAGTCTTACAGTTTTAATGGTGAAAGACTCACTATAAGATTTGGAATGGCTTAATGAGATTTCGAGTAACCTTTCATTGCGGGAGCGAAGTTAAAGTTTTTTAAGTTTTTTTGTGATAAAACAAATCACTAACCTTTGTTTCTATCTTTAAAATAGATAAGAATCAATAAATCAGTGCGATGGTTAGCTATGTAGAGATAACTCTCCAATCTCTTACCTTTTACCTATTCAACCGCAAATCCCATCTTAATCTTTGGTAGAGATAGTTTGTATCGTGAGAACGAATGTATCTATTTGATATTCAATCTTTAGAGAGCGAGGAAAACAATTTTGTTTATAATAAATAAGACATAGACATATTTATAATCAACGTACAATCTTATCAGTATAAACTATGAAAATTATAAACTTTTAAAAATGTCCATATTACTGACTTCTTTGATAACAAATTATATTTTTTTCATACATATTAAGGTAAGAAAAAAAACATTTTTTTAAATATAATAACTACATAACACAATCTATTATATTTTAATTTGTTAGAAGAATGTGTGTAGAAGAAGCTGTGAGACCCAAATGGGGCTAATAAAAATATGCAGGTGCTCTGATGTCCTAAATTTATAGAGCACCGACCAGCTTGAATTGGGTCATGTCTGTCATATATTTCTCTTTACATCGTCACTATGACATGAAACACGAAATTATATTAACTATATATATGTATGTGCACAGGAGTGCACATACAAGTTTAATAGGATATTCTATCTACTTTATTATACTTTATTTTTATATCAATCTCTCAACTCCGATCGCATGCTATGATGGTAATAAATAGTCTGAACCGTAAGTCAGTAGTCGAATCTTCTAGTGAAAGTTTCGTTTAATTCGGTTCAGCCAATAGCCCTTTTGAAATCACAGACAGACACATATATAAAGGTAAAAATAAATATATACGTTGCGGTCATTAGCTATCGAATTTTACACGAATTATAAACTAGTACTGCCTATCCTAGTTCAGGAGGTACATTACTTAAGTGAACTGCGAAGTTTCATTCAATTTCTATAGACTATCCAATGAACGGAACTCGATTTACTGTTCCAGCATTTCAGCACTAAAACAGCTAGCCGTTTTTATAAATAGTTTATTGACAATTAAATAAAATTTTAATAGTTCTTTTAAACTGCTTTAAATTGAACATGAAACATGTGTTCCATATTAACATAATCAATTACGTGTTCCTTTGTCCACTTGTTTCAATTTCAACATGTGGTATTAGATGAAATTCTTATGTGTAAAATGTGTTTCAAAAAATATTACAATGTTTTCATCAATTAACAAGTACTCACTTCCACTTAAATTTGCTTAAGATAGAGTGTATCAAAGTAGTCCATTTTTTGAATATTTCAAATGGGATGAAGAAGGGCGTACAGATTTTCTTACTATAAGTATTTTTTATTTGCACTCGTATGCATTCATATTTAGCCCTCTATCATTAAGGTAACCATATTGAAATTCAATTAGACATTTTTAATTAGTGTACATTCAAACAGATAGATAGCAGACAAAAAATGTATCGACATCCTCAATTTGTTCTAATCACTAATATTTAAAAAAATACTCTCTTGTTACAATCTATACATATAATAAAATTCTAACTGAGCCGAATCTGTACATTAAATAGTTTTTGGAAAATGTTATTGAAATAAACATTATTATCGATACAGAGGCCGAATCTATAGGTTTTAGAATTTTTGTCTCTCTGTCTGTCTGTCTGTTACGGCATCATAGAAATACCACTGGAGGGATTTTGATGAAATTTGGTATGGTGACATCTGGTTATCCGGGTCAATATATAGGATACTTTTTACCGAGAAAATGTCTCATTTCTGAGAAAAAATACAAAAACTGCAATGTAAGAGTATACTAGTACGTTAAACCTAAGAATTTGGTTTTTGGTCATCTGAACGCGGGCGGAGCCGCGGCAATGCCAGTTTATTTATAAGATGTTGGTCATTCTACCACATTAGTTGTTATAACATACTAGGCATACCTAATAGACATGTATAATTAAAGATTTTTGAGTTAATTATGCTTTTTTTTGTTTCAGGACCCCTATCGTTCAACTATCATTTTGGTTTCTTTTTTCCCTTCAGTATAAAACATGGTAAGTAATAACGCCTTATTAACATATCCCTTTTGAGACTTTTTATTCGATTTTTTAATATTGTAGATATCTGAACATATGTATGAAAAATAAAAAAAAACAGTACTTTTAGGTGTTGCTCTATCGTAAAAATTCTAAAGTAACGTAATGAATGAATGAATGGAATATATATGTATCCATATAACAAAATTCTGAGTCGAATCGGCATATTAAATATTTTTAGGAAAAACTTATTGAAATAGTCAGTCTGTCTGGGAACGCATCACGAGAAAACTACTGGACAGACAGATTTTGATTAAATTTGGTATGATGATAGCTAATATCTCATCTCTGAGAAATCTATAATAAACGGTAAAACGTAAGTAAATAATATATACCTACCTATAATGGCATTTATATTATACTAGTGGCTTACGTTGGCTTTGCTTGGGTCCGCTAGTACTAATTCGCAAATATTATAAATAAATATTATGTTGGGACACACACACATCACCATCTAGTTCCATCATAAGCTACGTGGCTAGTGTTATAGATACCAGATAGTTGATACACTACAAATATATAACTTTTAAATACATACATATATAAATATACCTATGACTGGAGTACAAACGTTTGTTGCTCATCACACAAATGAATGCCCCCAGCGGGATTTGAACCCGCGACCGCTGGCGCAGCAAGTACACCAAACTGAGCCAAACGTGTCGTCAATCGTTATAATATCGTTAAATCAATTTCGCAACTGTTAATAACTTATAGCCTTCTTAAATAGTTCCTAATTGAAAGCCTATGCACAGTTATAATATTCTTACAATAGTTTATGAAAGAAACTAGGTATTTTAGAAGAATCACAAACTCTTTAATTTATAATATGTAATGTGATAAACGAAATAACTTTTTTTAATTTTTTTGAATTAAATGTAGGTTGATTATTAAATAATATAGTTCCTTCTTGGTTCGAAACGTCTTTAATTATATTTCATACTTGTAGTCTTGTACATGCTTAGACTCTACAACTTTCTTTGTAGGTTTCTCGATATTAATTGAGGAGGGTTCACTCCTCCGCGTCCGATATAGTTAAAAAGTTGTCATGTTCAAGCAATGCTTCAAAGTTAAGACTTCAAACTTACAGAACTTCTTTTAATAGAGATCTGCTGCACCCAGTCCAAAGTTTCATAGAAACTTACAATTCTACTCTAAGCAGGATGCCTTCGAAGTGTTGGAAGATGTTAAGCATTCCAACCGGTACTGACTTTAAAGATGTCAAGTAAATAGAATTTAAGGATATTCTATAAGAAGATAAAAGGTAAACATTAGCAAATTCTTAGAAATTAACCGCGAGGTGTCTGATTAGGTATCTATTCTAAATGAAAACCCCCGTTTAGTTATTTTTTACATTTTAGTGTCTGGAAGTCGGGTTTTTTAGTTTTTATTTTTAATAGACGTAATAAGCAGGTAATTACCTGCAACTTTCTTATTGCAAATTTGCAATTAGAAAGTTTTTTAATAACATATTCGATAAACAATTTATTTAAAAAAATATTTACTTGTTGATCTTTAAAAAACGGCTCTACCGATTTCGATAAAATTCAAATGGGACCACCTGGGAAGTATACCCTTTGAAACAAAAAAATATATATTTCCAAATCCGGTCAGGCGTCTTCGAGTAATCGGTGAACATACATAAAAAAAGAACAAAAAAGATTCCGACGAATTGAGAACCTCCTCCTTTTTGGAAGTCGGTTAAAAAGACGTTAAAACGTTATTTAAAAATGAAACTGCCAGCTTATTAATTATCAGAGTTGAGTAGCTTTCTTTATCTTCCCGGGGGAGAAGCCAACTCCTACCGGGCGCGTCCCCAGGTGGCGGATAGGGGAATGCCACCCGCTTAGGGCGGCGGGTGGTACCGGAGAAATCCGGCGCGGACCAAATGGCTTGGGTGGGGCCGCTCGTCTAGGCCTCGAGCCGAAGACGTTGCGGCCACCGGTGGTGGGACCGCTTGGTCCCACAACCGGATGATGGGTGCCGGTTGCGGGACTGTGGTCGCAGGCCCGCATCCGGCGGAGGGGTAGGCCGCGGAGGGGTAGGCCGCGGCGGGAGAGGAGTGCCGGTATTTCGGTGCGCCGTTCTCCCTACCTTCCGCGGCCTAGACGGGGCCGCCACCGTTTGATGGCGGACGCGGTGGGGCTGCAGGGGAAGAGGAGTGTCGGTGTTTCGTTGCCGCTCTCCCTGTCCTCTGCAGCCGATTGGAGGTGGCCTACTTCGGTGGGCGGTTTAATGGGGCTGCTCCGGGTACCTCTCTGGCGTAGCAGAGTTGACTGTGGAGCAGCCCCATTGGTTTGGTGGTCTGCCTAGCGTTTAGGCAGACCTGCCGCCGGGGCGCCGTAGTAGTTATGCGCAAGCGATCCTGCGGCGTCCCATTAAGGCGGAGGGGAGGGGAATGTCGGGTTTTAGTGGGTAGTACCGGCTCTTCTAGCCGGTGAGCCCCACATCACCACCTGGGGGATCAGGTGGTATGCGTCAATGCATTTCCCGACATAAAAAAAACAGCTTTCTTTATCTTGAACGATAGCTTTTTTGAAGAAAGCTCTGTTTTTCTAGGATAAAAATAGCTTATTGCTGCTTATCTAATACTGCTACAGGCACAATTGTCGAAAAAACGTGTGTTTTATTATTTGTATCACGGTAATGTTATATGTAACATTACCATGTTTGTATGAATTGTGAATGAGCATTCAAATTGATTAAATAAACTGAAGAATAAAAATTTCTGAATTTTTAAAATAAGCGAAATAATTTATTAACAAAACAATAAATTAATTTATATCGAACATTTGCCAATACTGCTATTCTCACAAATAAATTAACGATAAGATTGATGGCTAAAAATTCTAATTTATTATGAAACGTTTTAATCAATGCCTTTCGCGATGGGCGAAATCAATAAGGTTTTCGAAAGCTTCTGGATCCTAAGATAGTATATCATTAATTGTATTTTAATGTCAAAATATTAAATTTATTAACACATAATCCATATTAATATTATAAATGTGAAGTGTGTTTGTTTGTTTGTCCTTCTTTCACGTCGAAAGAAAGAGAAACGGATTGGCGTGATTTTTTGTGTTGGAGGGCTGAAGATCGACATAAGTTACTTTTTATCGTGGGAGGTTATCTTATTCCCACGTAAAAATACGTTATAATGATGTTCTCCTAGCCGATTCCGGCCACGGCGGCCAATCTCAATGAGATTAGCCAACTGCGCAGGAGATATTATAGTGCTCAAGTGTACGCGCAGACACAAGTGCACTCTCTATTCCTATCACTCTCATACTCCGGTGGGACGACCACTCGACACGACCGGTGAGAGTTAAAGCGCAGGACCGACGGCTTTACGTGCTCTCCGAGGCACGGGGGTGAAACACCGCCAACTTCCCAACTCCGGGCTGTTACTGAGACTTACTATACAGGAAGACTCAATAAATAAACTTGGCCCGACCCGGGACTCGAACCCAGGACCTCCGGGTGTGCAGCCGTACATGCTAGCCACTACACCACCGAGGCAGTTATAATACGTTATAATATAGTCCAACAAAATATTTATGATCAGAATTACTTAAAACTTGGTGTAAATTCTCTTCAATAAAATAAAATTAATACGTGTTTTAGCATTTTTTGAAATTTATTCTATAAGAGGGTAAAATAGGGGATGAAAGTTTGTATGAAACTACCTTTTTAGATATTTTTTGTAGTCTTAGCGCGAGCAAAGCCGTGGGTTCTGCTAGTAAATATATAGCTTTGATCCATCAGTCAGTGATGTTATACACACTATACTTACACCTCATGAACGAATTATTCGTTCATATTATACCTATATCAATACCTATTTAAATTTTTTTCGTTATTACACACACTGTTCTTAAAATGATATGAATTTGTTAGAACGTGTTAGTTTGATTTCAAAATTCTTGTTTTTATCGTAATTTATTATGGTCTAAGCCACACCACAGCTACCAGTCCTATAGCTTAGAGGGCTTTGACAGACTATAATGAAACTCATTAAATCTACTAACTTTTTTGACTTTTTTTAATATAAATTAATGAAACCCCTATTGCAGCGTTTTAATATTCACCTCTTTAAGCAATAAATTGGCTGTTGCCGAAAAATAATATTAAGATACCCAGATTAAAAAAAGTACCTTTTGAAGTCAGGACAGGCATTTAGTAGACACATAAAAAATAAAATATTGTGTAATAGGTTTCAATAAGGGACCTTAGCAGTTTAATGTTTTAGATTGAATAATTAGCATATTTATTTGTGTAAGTATAAAACGCTATTCATACAGATAATGGTGCCAATAGGGTAGTAAATTTACCGATGTGATCCACTAGACTAGAGATTACACGTGGATGAATATTAATTGTCAAAGCTTAATGATCAACTCAATGCTGACATTTCCTTTTGAGATTAAATTTTGTCTAGATAAGAAATTTCAAATACCTTAATTTATAATTTTACCTTTTTTACTTTCTAAGACAGGTCTATCTATAAATTGTGCAAAGGTTTTGCTGAATAAGAATTATTATTAATTATTATAGGCTTTTTCATTATTTAAAAAAAAAACTTTGGATTTGTTTAATTTTTTTTGTATAATATGTCACGCTAACGAATATATACGTAAAATGGTCACTTATTATTATTTTAAATCTAAGTCTTTACAATAGATTTATGATGATGAAATTCTACACAACTAATACTTCAAAATTCCAATTTATTCCTATTGGATGTCGAGTTTCACTACTTTTTCGTATTGGAAACTAAGTAGGTACCAACTACGAAATCGAAAATGTTCCCGCAAATGAAGTTTTAGAATTTAGATAGACACGCGGGCGTGCTAGGAATTCCATATTATACCGGAAATGTAATTTCACGTCACGATATTAGAATTTCAAAGGAGAGAAGACAATATTATGTATAATGTGTTTTTACTTAACAAGGGATA